TCAAAGTTAAGAACACCACAGCTAAAATATAACCTTGACATGTGCACTGGGAAAGGCAGAAGTACGTAGAGTCTCCTGTGTTTCGTCCACTGGTTTTTTTCTGGGCACACTCAAAACAAAAGCAGCCTGATCATTAGTTGCTGCAGTAGCCGTTATGCGGTACCCTTTGTCCCACCGTCTATGGATTCCTTCGCTTGGGTAAAGAAAATCCAGTTCCACTACCTATACACATAATAATCAAATAACATCAGTCAATGTATAATTATATATGTGTATTTGTGTGAATTTGAAGAAATAGAGAATTCAATTCGAAAAAAAAAAAGGAAATTATCCATCGTATGAAAGAAAAAACCTGGTCAGAAAAGCCAGCTGTACGGGACATGACAACAGCCCATCTTGACCTTGATGTTGCCATGGAGGTCACATAGAAACCTTCTTTCCATTTTTTGTTTATCCACTTGAATGGGAATGAGTCGCTCACTTTGTAAGACTGCTGGGCGTACTGTGTGCCTAAAACAAATTTAAAAATCTAAGTAGGTCAAAAGGGAAAAAAAAAATGACAATGATGGAAGAGAAAAGGAATATATGTAGATCAACTTGAAGCTCAGTCCCAGAAATTTACCTTTCGACATTACAACTAATGAACTGCCATTTGCGGCTCCTCCAACAGCACTGATGTAATAATTATTTTCCCACTGTTCCATTATCCATTCCTGTATGTCGCATNAAAAAAAAAAAAAATGATAAAAACACTTACAAACATCATCTCTAGATGTATATAGAATAAGAACAGTTATATACATAAATGGACATATATTCAACAACCAATAAATTAGAAGCAGAAAAAAACTTGCAACCAGTGGACAAATTACCTTGTGAAGAAAGGAAGGTGACAGCTCATAAACTTGCCCTGTGAAGCCAGTTCCGGCATCCATTATTAGCGCCCAAACATTTTGGCAAGATGCCACACAACTTATGAACAAACCATCTTCAGTTCCTTTATCAATGTGTTGGGAAAGTCTCGCATCCGTCACATTATAGTGATATCTACAACACAGTAACACACCACAAATCAGTAAAATCATGTGTTGACAGAGCAAATATACTATATGAGTTGCGAGTGGTCGGAGACACTCATACCTTTGCTTTATCGGTTTTCGAGCATTATAAATGCTAATCCACTGGGTGGCAGGTATTCCCATCCGAACCTTCTTCTTAGGTTGTTCATCATCATCATCATCATCATCCTCAAGAATCAGACGGTCTCTCTTGTGACCAACCTCATAGATAAGCTTCATTTTCACAACCAAAAGTTAGAGACAGAGCTAAACCACATTTCACGAACATCACCTGAGAGCTGCATCAAAATGATGATTCAAAATAAGTAAAAACTCATATGCACCTTCTGTGCACCCTCAGTGTTGATGCTATCTTGATTTGGTCCAACTATCCCATCAAAGAAGGAGATATACTTAGAATAATTAGGCTCCTCGTCAAACTGCAGATTCACCACGTCTTCAACAAAAGACTTAAAAGGTTGTGGGCAGAAGCAGCAAAGTCCCCCGGGTGATGTTGCCATTTTCTTCTTGCAGACGAGAAATCCTTTGTTTTCACCCTACGCAAAAAATAAAATAAAAAAGATGTGAATTTGTAATCCATGCAAAGTTGAGACTATTATTGAACCCTGTAGTTAAATTCAAATCGCAAACCTGGTATCCTTGCCAAGGCAGGCGTCCACGCAAAAGGAAAATAAGTGTATAAGCAAGGGATTCTAAATCATCTCTCCTGCTACCAGTTCTGCCTAAATGAGCATGCACACTGGCATAGCGAATAGTTCCCCTGAAGTCCAAAATAAATATTCAGTAAACAAGTAAGAAATGTATCGGGACCATGAAAGAGAAGTACTTGCAGAAGTGATTCTGGATTGCTTTTAAAATGATTTTACATACATTGAAGCTATACCTGAAAACATCTGGTCTTTGATCATAGTCAACGTGTAGCCCAGTAGTGCCATCCCTCCATCTTGTGGCTAATTTATGCAAGTCGTTTTTAGAAACGAGAAATAATTCACAAGCAAGAAAAGAAATTGTACCATTAAAAAATGCAAGAATGACATACCTAAACCGAGATCAACCAAAAACAGCTTCTTCTCGTCAGGGGACCCTGGTGACCCGAGCAAAAAATTCTCAGGCTTCACATCCCCATGAACATACCTAATATTTTGGAGAAAATATCAAAATATCCATACAAAACACAAATCAAGTGAAGCTTCAAAATATCTTCTCAGTAGTGCTTCGTTTTCAGTGAAATAGTATAAATTGGGCAAAAGAATCTTCATCCAAACAACATGCCAAAGAAATATAATAGGTTATCATGACTACAAAAAGGAAACCGAGCCATAACAAAGACATATAAATCAAATAACAGATATAAACTTAAAGAACAATACACCACAGTGACAAAATAACTTACCCTCTTGAGTGCATCTTCTCTAATATAGAAATTGCTTCAATTGCAATACAAGCCACCATTTTGACAGACATCCTGATTTACGACAATATAAACGTTAATGACAATATCTCATGATAATCAAATAATAAAGACCTAAAGCAAAGTAAATCTTCAGACTGGAGACACTCACGAATGGGCATCATTATTCCAAACATCCCATAAGCTCGGTCCAAGCATATCCATGACCTGTGAATTCAGAGGCCCACTCAGTAACTTGAATTCTAAAAAATACAAGGTCATAACGAAAACGAGAGAGAGAGAGAGAGAGAGAGAAAGGACATGTAACAATGTACCATCACATAGTAATCGCCTTGTCGGCCTTTGTAGTGCACTCGTGGTACGCCATGACTTCCTCCCAGCGTGCTACACATAACAGCACAGGAAATAAGATATGAGCAATCATTAATCAACGAGTGCAATCATGAATTAATCCAAAGGGTAAGCAGAATATTTCAAATAAGACTTACTTGTAAACTTGCCACTCATAAGGTGGGCCATAATTACAACCTTTGCTATTACGGTGTTCAAATTTCAGAGCCACCTGGTCAGGATCGAAATGAACAGTGTCACTTGGGCATAATAATGCTAAAAACATGGATAAGCACAAATAAGTTAAGCTTGCAAACATACCTCGAACGCTCCTGGACCAGTCCTCTCACTAGTGCTACCACCAGTGATACGGCGACCAACGTACACTTGTCCGAAACCTCCCTTCCCGAGTTTCCTATCAATTTTGTACATCGGTGAACCACCAACTTGCACCTGTAATGACAGAAAATGTGGAATTAAATTAACCTCCAATCATTATACATATTCCCAGCACATCCAGAACACATATATTCGCCAGTAGCTGTTGATTTTGTAAAAGTTTAAGAAACTGATCATCAGGTCATGTGCATTCTTTAAAGTATTGGACCAGAATTCTCTACGTAAACATCTAATGACTATATATGCCCGAAGACCAAATGATTAAAATAAAATTTGGTGACGTGTATATCCTAAATTAGCTTACTTCCATTCAAACCCATAACCCATTTTCGCGGAAAAGAGGATCCTATACAGATTCTTCCATGCACTGGTGCACCTACAACTAAACAGGCAATCCAAGAAAATGTGAATATACAAAATCACACGTACTCTCAAACAAATCCAAAAATCCTAACTTTCCTCACAACGCCACCTTCAAACGCTTCAATCTTCTATCCCACTCACCTATAGATACATGCATGCAGAAACTCTGCCATTATTTCACCTCCATACAGAAATGCATCAAAAAAAAAGGCAACAAAAAGAGAAAAGTAAAAAAATAAAATCCTTCCATTAAAAAAAAAGAGACAATTCTCACTTTGTCAGGTAGAGGCGCCGGCGATTCATCCTCACCGCCACCATTCGCCTTCGTCGGGCTTTTGCCTCCGCCACTGTCATAATCATCCATCTCCCTCTCTCCTTCCTCAACCGCTACCCTCTCCTCTAAACCCTGCTTTCCTTCACCCAATTCCTCGACTACAGGCGCCTGAGCCTCCGCTACTGCTGCTGCTGAATTGGGAGCAGCAGCTATCTTCTCATCAATGGCCCCCACAAGGGCTGCTTCAGCTACTCTCCTCCTTGTCCGAGTGGCGATTCCCGCGTTTCCCTCAGGAGACCGATTTATTTTCTTGTTCTCCTGATTCCGATTTTCAATATTATAGTTGGTAGCCTTTTTATCGTCGTTGTTTTGCTTTCCTCTCCGGCCTCTGCGCGCGCTCGGCGACGCAGTATTATCGTTCATACTCCAATTCTCATTCCCTTAACCCTGAAACCTAGAAAAATGATCAGTATATAACCAAGAAAAATAAAAAATCAAAAGAAAGAACAACACTCCAATTTGCAGATACTGTGTGCACATGAATTCAGTTGTTAAATTCACACATACAGAAGTTGGAGAAAGCATACGCACCAAAAACAGGAAAAGGGGTGAAAACAAACCAATCGCCGATCGTCGCAACGCACTGAACAGAACAACAGGTCTTAGGAAATCTGCACGGTCGTTGGGGTTTTTGAGTGATGCCGAAAAAATTATCTATAAATTTTTCTTCAGAAGAAGGTTTGAAACTTGAAACAGATAAAAAAAGATATGTTAGGGATCTGCAGAGGAAGAAGAAAGTGATTCGATTACAGATAGAAGGGGAAAGTGAAATCGAAACAAAAATCAAATCAGTTAAATAAATAAATAAATTGTGAGCAAATCGAATTTTGCTCTATGAAAAGTAGGCGCGATATTATTTTGTGTATATTATTTGGACGTTTAATGGCCGTCGATTCGAGCGGATGAACGGTGGAGATAAAATGTTATATTATGGAGATCTTCTGTAATTAAGGGGTTTTTATTATAACTTACTTATACAACACCCATTATTATACCATAATAACTTATACAAAAACTTTTAAAAAATGTAAAATATAATTTTTTATTAAAACTTTAATATTATTAAAAAATATATAAATTGCCGGTTTTATATTATAATAATTTTTTAATTCATGTATAATAAATTTATAGATAACTTTTTTAATTGGTATATACTTTTATTAAAACTTTTAGTATTAATGTTTTATGATAAAACAATATAATTGTTTATTTATTTTATATATGCAGTATAGGTATTAAATCGAAATTTGTAAAAAATATTTTATTTAAAATATTATATATTAAAATTTGATAACAAATAAAAAATTTATTGATTTTAAATATATTTGTAATTTAACTTAGTAAAATTTTATAATTTTAAAAGTCGTAATATGGCTATCATCCATAGCTACTTCAAAACAAGAACAAATATGATTAGGAGGAACACAATTCAACACATGAAACACAAAAAAATGACACGTATGATCGAGACATTCTACTTATATATATGGTTCATATCGGGTTACTTTCAAAGCGGTCCAAATCATTGAGCAAGGAAAGAGTGGGTCAGCGGGCCAACGAGTAGCCAAGCCAACTCGGGTCGCGGGTTACTTTCAAAGCAATCCAAATCATTGCTTGCCTTCTTTGTTTTGGATTTAAATTTATACTAGTACGATACTTGTGTACTACAATGGTAGTTAAAGAAATGATTATTTTACAGCAATTGATAATTAATTTATATTTTTATTGTTGAATTACAAACAATAAATGTACAATAAATAATAGAAGTAACAAAATAATATTGTTTAATATAAAATTAATTTGTCAAAAAATGCTATTTATTTAATTATTATTTTTATTATATGTCTAGTAATATAATATTATTTTACAATACCATAAATTTTATGTTATATTTTTAATTTGTATAAAGCCTCGTAGCATTGAAATTATAATTTCTATTTATAGAGTTTGTTTGTCTCATATATAAAATTTTCAAGTATCTTAAATTTATTGTATTTGATGATTTAAAATATAAACTACGATATACATATGTAATATTTTCTAACTTTATGAAATACATTTAAATTATGATACTCAATTATATATTTATTTTCAACATCATAATAACATTTGAATTCTTTATATACTTTATTTATATCGAAACATGACTTTTTGAATATTTCTTAATACTCATTCACATTTTTTCCCAAACCCATAAGAATAATACCCTAAAATGATTGTTTTGTGGTATATTAATGATTATTTTACAAACAAATTTAAATTTTTATTTGATATTTTTCAATTTATTTTGATAATTTAATTTAAATTTTATTTATGAATATATATGAAATTATTTTCATAATATATATATAATATAAAGGTATTAAAAGTCGTTAAAAGATTATTAATTTTATACATCAAATATCAAAAAGAAAATACCAAAAAAAAATAAAATTTAAAAATATAAGAAGAATACATATTTATATTACATAATATATGAATTAAATAAGAAAAATAAAATTTAATATATGATAATTTAAGAAAGGAAAAGCTAAATAGTTGTACTGTAATTCTCAAGTCTTTTGTTTGAACCAAACAAGTATAAACGTCAATGCGAAGTACCGATTTAAGCTAAATAAACTTAAAAAGTGTCCAAAACTGTCATTCATGTTCAATACATTTTGAATTAATATATATAGGGGGACTGAAACTTTGAATTAATCTCTTTTTTTTTATTTAATAAAAACTAACTATTTTTTTTATCTTTTTAATCCATTTTGATAGGTCTCAAAGTAGGGGCAAAGGATCAAAAGTTTTTGTATGCAAGTATATTTAACTTGAATTTTTTAAAATTTTTAAAAGTCTTAGGGTACTTATTTGTGAATCTGTGATTTAAAAAAGTTTTTAAGAAATTATGACATATATGATAACATACGACTAGTTGCTAACTTTCTTTCTTGATTAGGGTCACTTAGTAAGAAAGTTTTGTCGCCGATTGAGCATGCTGCTAAACTTTAATTTGTATGGATTTTTTTAAAATTTATCGATATTTCAAAAATGAAACCATATAATCATAAGATTTCCAAGAACTCCAATTAAATCTAATAAATTTAAAATGACTTCAATTTTAAAAAGTTCTACATCATTCAAAATTTAAGAATATCCTGATAAACTTTTCGAATGACAATGGGCCGTATTTCAGACATCTGTAGTAATTGATTTCTCTTTCTCTTTTAGTTTACATCTCTTTGGGCTCACCAACTCGTGTTGAAGCCCAAATTCTTGAATTAAGCCCACATTCTGGCAGCAGTTTTATTATTGAGAAATTTACACGTTTTGCCTTCTATCAACTAAATAATATCAATTATACGACCTGACAACATTTTCATCATAAGTACGTGATTTAACAATTAAAATAAGAATTAGTGCGGTTAACTTGGCCTAATTAATCGTTAAGTCCAATTAATTGCATATTTAATTCTGACATTGGTGGCAATTTAAAAAAAAAAAAAATTACACACAAATAAACTCCTCTTATAAGATTATCGGAAAATGTGATTTACTCTCCATCTTTACACTCAACCGTCCAAAAAAAAAGAACTGAAAATCTGCATCTCTCTCCAAATCTCAAATCTAGTGCATAGGACATCCCTCCCCAAAAAAACTTCATCTCTCATTCAAACAATTAAAAAAAAAAAAAAACTCCATGACAATGAAATTGATCTTCTTCCAAGTCTCCATGCAATTTTTTTATTTTTTTTTTCTCGCGGTTGGCGCACGACGGCGGGCTAAATTCTGGATTTCTACTCGATGTAGATTGTTGTTATGGGAACGCCGGGTACGACGAGAAGGGCGGCTATGCGGGCCAGGCACGGGCCAACATGATGATCTCTCCCGGGTAAGGGGGCCAGAAGAAAAAAGGGGGAAAAAGGGGAAGGATTTGCACGTTTGTTTGGAGATCAAGTGTGTCTCATGTTCTTTAAGGGGGTAATCATGTTTTCAGATGCGGGGATTATGTGAAACAAGATGAACGACGGGGCTCATCCTAAAATTAGTTTTTTAATGCTTTTTTTTTGTTTATGTGACTTTTTTCTATGTTTTTAGGTCCAATGGAAATGTAGGATTATTGTTTCTTGATTAATTGATGCTAAAGTTTGAGTCTTAGGCTTGAATAAGGTTTTTATATTGATTTTTTATTATGAGCCTGGGTTGTGAAAAGTTGAAAGGTTTGAGTTTACTGTATGTTCTTGTTCGCTTCTTGATGTTAAAGTTGAGTTTGGTTGTCTCATTGAGGAGAAATTGAAATTATTGAACGAGTTTTCAGAATGGTTGATATTCAAGTTGTATGAAGAACCACATGTTTATCTAATGTTTATTTTTAGTATACATTGCTGTTGTATGAAGAACCACATGTATATCTAATGTTTATTTTTAGTATATAAGTTGTTTTATAGCAAATTGACCAACTTTATATTCTAAAACTTGTTTGATTATGCACATGTTTATCTAATGTTTATTTTTAGTATACATTTATGTTGTTTCATAGCAAAATTTTCAAGATATCTACTAAACTCTGTCTTTGTCATCATCAAACATAAGAACCAAGATTTTCTTAAGCCGAACAAAACCTCGACCTCGATTCGCCCGATACTCGACAACCAGGATCTAATGTACATGGTCCAGGTCAGCATCGTTCGTGTAATCTAAGAAAATTGAGTTAGTGGAAAGTTGATCGTGAAAATATGTTCAGATATACTGTATATATACATAAGATAAACAGCATGTAAATTATCCGTATAGTTATACATAAGATAAACAATATATAAACAACACAAACGAGATAAAACATAACATACAATTCAATCTCATAATATATACTATTTGTTTATATGTTAGCAAACATATCTTAAAAGATATGTTTAAGATATGTTTGCTAACATATAAACAAATAGTATATATTAGGTATATCTTGAAACATGATATATACTTTTGTAAACTGAAGTATATTACTTGTATTTGTTTATTTATCTCCATCATTTTTATATACAGAATATAAACGTTAAATAAACAAAAAAAAAAAAAACAATCAGATCACACATAAGCATAATAAGCTATACTGAACATAAACGATAGGTAAACAAAATATTATCACACACAAGCCATTGACGAATATATTGATTTTATTTGACAAATATTTGCTTTCTCAGACAAACATCAAATCAGTGTCAAAACTCAGATAATCCGAACTGAAATCCCCCCCGTCACAGTTACGTGGCCGTAAACAGAGCCCATCTCGTCACTGCCAAAGCACATTCCTTCTGAAATCCCGGTCTTGTCGTACTTCCATACGCAGAACTAAGTACCATCGACAACAATAATAGTTATACAATGATTCCACGATTTAACTGAGACACATGAATACTTTTATCCTTCGACCACAACTCCAACTGATCTGGAGTTGTTTATTTTCAGTTTATCTTCCGTATATTTTACTGTTTTCAACATAGTATCTGCAGAATGTTCGGCGAATCATTTGTAAAAACCATCGTCTTCCGAATCTTCTCGTGCCGTGTCCAAACGTCTTAATGGCTAATGCTGCTATAAAAATTAAAACCACCCAATAATCTCGTACCTGATCACCATAAAAATATAGATTAAACATGAATATACCTCAGTGTTCATGAACCATAACCAGATTATGAATCAATGCAACACAATGAAAGCTCAAATTAAAAAAAATAAAAAATAAAAACACACTATAATTTCGTAATTGATCACTAAAAAAATAAATAAACATGAGTATACCTTCAAGAGTTTTGGCTCAGCGGCTATTTCATGATCAATTTCACAAACAAGACAATCGATTTTTTTTTTCAACTGATCGGTGTGCTTTTTTTTTTTTTTTTTTTTTTTTTGACAAGCACTATAAATGCAATTCAATCGAGTTCAACCTCATTCAAACACATAGAAGCTCCGTCATCATCATCATACAATGTTCTGTCAAATCTCAAATATTTCAGGTAAAACGGATGACAAGAAACACGGCTTAAGGCTCAACGGGCTACTAGCGAAAATATAACTTTAAGGGACAATGAAAAAG